GTTTAAATATGAAATTATTAGATATAGAATTAAGAAAATATCAAAATATTCTTTTCATTCCATTGATAACATTTATTGATAAATATTTTGTATCCAATCAATGTTCACAAAATAATATTTTAATTAAAGAAATATTAGAATTTCTTCGTATAACAAGTGATCAAACACTAACAATTCCAATATTTATTAATGCTAATTATCCACAAATATGTTTACATTGGTTATCACTTTCCTATTTGAATGCTTATGAATATGCTTATACTTTACGTATAATATATAATATTGCACGTCATGATGAAGGAATAATGATCCTAAATAAATGTCAATGTCACAATATTTTAATGCAATTTAATACAGATATATTGGATAGACATATCGATTTTATAATTGATAGAAAATGGTATGAAGATCTTCAATTAATCTATTTTATGATAATAATTTTAATTGTTGATTCAAATAAACTTGTAATTGAAAGTACTAATTGGTTTATAACATATCGTTTATCACCAGCAATTTTCGATGGTATACTATCACGTACATATCGATATCAAAAATTTCATATATCAGAATTAATAATTATTCTAATGAGACTATGTATAAATGATAATTATATTCATTGTATTTCTCATAAAAAATATTCTACATTTCCAGAATATGTATTTAATGTATTAAATTTTTTATTATATTGTGTTGAAATCGAAAGATTTGATTATAGTGTTCTCTCTTTGGATGTTTTAACAGTGATAGCTTTAGCAAATATTTTATGGAGTATTTCATTTCATGATCAATATAAAAATATTTTAATTGAAAATATTCAAATTATAAATAAACTTATAGTATTTGAATCAAGTAATATAATTGAGAAAATATTACCTTATATATACATATCTCGTCATATGTCATCATTAAAAAGAGCAATTGATGGTATTTGGCAAAATTTATATCCTTTATCATCTACAAATGTAGAAATTAAATCTTTAACTACAATAAAATCTTTTTGTTCATTAATGATTAGTTATTCTCATATTGATATTGATTTTTGTCGACAATTATATGATATATTTAGTATACTTCCAGAATTATCAATATCTGTTGATTTTATTAATTCAAAATATTTATGGCAAGAAATAGCACAAACTATTGAACAATCAGATCTTGTTCTTTTTCTTATATCAAATAATTTTTTCAATAGTAAATCATGTCGTCAAGAATTAATCTATGTTACAGATACATTAAAAAAACCTTTTATATCAATCTTTATTAATGCTGATTATCAAGTAACAGGATGGCTTAAGAATCGAATAAATGAATCAAAACAGATTCATTTTGAAGAAAAAGATTTTATAAATAATTGTAATGAATTATTATCATTGATTAAGCAAAGTGTTTCCATGAATATAACTTCAATCAAAAATACATCCGATATCAAACAATGGAATGAAAAAGAAGTTAAACAATGGTTTAATAATAATAATCTTATGCCTGAATTACATGATTTTTATCAATTTCAAAATGGTTATGAACTATTATTATATACTCAAGCAATATTAGCATTTTCATGGACAAAAGAATATGCAAGAATAAAAATAAGATTCGAAGAAAAATTCAAACAACAACAACAATGTCTTTCTCCACATGAATTTTCAAAATTTATCAATGCATTAAAACATTTGAAAAACAAGAGTCTTAGTTCAATTTAAATTTGATCAAATCTTGTTTTTTGGAGAACTGAACTATCTATATCCATATTTTTCGTCGATTTTATTATAGAATAATAGTTTTTTGTGATTTGACTATTAGACAGTTGATTGATTACACTTTTTTTTTCTTTCTCAATAAATTTTGACTAAATTAGAATTTTTAATAAACAATCCCAGATAAGTTTGATTTGGACGCTAATGAAAATACTTTGATTAATGTCTTGTTCAAAAGTGAGATCTATGAAATTGGCTTAAGATACCGAATGGATATTGACTTACGATTTTAAATATGTACATAGCGATATGTATGAAGATTTTTTCGGACAATGAAGCAAATTTGCATGTATCTTAGTTAATATATTCCTTTGATTTCCCTGAAAAACGATTCAAACCATCTGTCTGCGTAGTTCTGTTGGCTATACATGATGTGATCCTTGTATCTAACTTGGTACGAAAAATTATGCATTATAAGATTAGGGAAAGATGGAAAAATTTTCATAGAAGTTTTATCTCAATAAAGTCAAAGTGTGTTTGTAAAATAAAACAAGTAATAAAGTTAACTTGTGTTATTTCTACTCAATTCGGAATTTCTTATCATAAGATAGCATACTACCATCGCAAGTCATGAAATGTCCTATTGGTTGTTTTTATGAATTGCATCTACAAAAGCCAATCACTAAACTAACCATATATAGGGACGGAAAGTTTCCGTTACCAGACAATTATATTACTAGGTGATGAGTAACGGAAAATTCTTGAATTTGACTTTTTCACTAAAGACAGACTTCTCTGGAATAGTAACGAATTCTATAGAGTTTGATCGAAGGTTATCGAGCTCGAAGGATCCGAATCTCTAATCAATTTATCGAAATTTTGTACTTGATTCTTTCACTAAAGAGAAATTAGAGATTTTTTTCATAAAGTTTGACGAGAGGTCTCCGAAATAGAGATAACTTAATGGAGAAATCAAATACACAATTTTCAGAAACCGATCATGGATCCAGATTACTTAATCACGAAGTCCTTTTATACATTTACTTTCCCCCCCCAAAAAAAACTAATAGGAAATCTCTCAGTTTTATTTCGTTTTATTTTCTACTAATGATTAAAGAAAAGATTTTGAATAAACTTAGGTCTTTATATTGCAACGTTGTCAATAGATGATAATGGACAAATAAATCAATCATAAACTTAACCTTAATAGATTACATTACATTACTTTACTTTTTCAAAGTAAAATAAAGATAAAGTAT